CATCGGGCTCCCTGCTCCGCGGGAAGCCTGCTTCTCCCTCTCCCACTCCCCCTGCTTGTGTTCCCTCTCTCACTGTGTCTCTCTCTGTCACATAAATAAATAAAATCTTGAATACATTTTAAGTTGACAGATGGACTGAAGGGTAGACAAATGAGTAAATGGTTGGGTAAATGACTGAGAAAGCAGATTTGTGACATGTTAGATCAGAGCCCTGGATAGCATGGGACTGTAATACCACGATGGCTATTTTCATTTGTTCTTTATGTGTCATTGGGGAATAACTTTAAGAATGAGTGAACAAAGGAAAGAATACATGAACAAATACATTCTCCCCCAACTCCTTGGTAGTATTGTCCTACTCACCTGGCTCAGTGCTTCTCCTCTAGACACTCATAATTGACTCTTCACACAGCCTCTGAGTGAGTTTTAGGAAACACAAATCTAACCATGCCCCCTGCCTGGGAAAGCATCATCATTAGAGTGAAATCCCATTCCCTTAATGTGGCCAAACAGACCTGGTGTGGTCTAACTGCAGACAATCTCTCGGGCTTTCTCTTGCTCTAGAAGCTCCTTTGATGAGCCTTAGTCCCTTCTGCCTACCGCAGGGGTTTGCCCACGCAGTCCTTGTGCACACAGTGCTTTTAGCCCTACTTTATCTAGCAAACACCTACTCACTCATCCTTCAGATCCCAGCTCACGTATGACTCCCGCAGGCAAGTCTTCCTTGATTTCACTCCCGGCCAAATTTTACATGCATTTGGGTTGTTTTGGTTGTTGTTGTTGTTGTTTTTGTTAATTAATGCCTGTATTCCTCATTGTGTATAGGTTCACAAGGGCCAGGACCATACATGTTTTCTTCATCCTGTAACCCAAATACCCAGATAGTGCCCAGCTTGTACTTGACAATCCATAAATACTTCTTAATGATAGTTACGATTTATGGTAAAGAAGAGAAAGAAGACATCTGTTTTGTGGTTGAACGAGTGCATTTCCTATCTATTATTTTATTTAATAGTTAGATCCTACAAAATAGATACTATTATACCTCTATAAATATTAATATCTTAATATAAAAAAATTAGCGAGTAATAGCATCTACTATTTTTCTAGGGATTAAGTGACATTATATAAGTAAAGCAACCAGTATAGTATCTGGCATGTAGAAAGACTCATTGAAAGCCGAGTTCCTAGGACATACTAAGCATTCTGTCTTGGATCATGCATTTTATGAGATGTGCTGCTATCTACTTTGACCACATTTCCCACACAACCATCAACTAGTTAATATCCATTTGTCCTACCCATTTCAGTGTAAAATCAGGGACTCAGGGAAGCCTCCTCTGATCCTCTGACTTCAGTTATGTTTCATTCACTATTATCTGTCTTTCCCACTAGGATTCTCATAGGCCGACTACCTAACAGGGTCGGTTTCCTCATCTGTAAGATGGAGGTAATAATAAGAGCTATACTTCATTGAATATTTTACTATATGATAAATTGTATATGAGGGTTGACAAAATGAAAGGTGTCAGGAAGGCCCCTAGGGGTCTGGATGGTACAGTTGGTTGGGTCATGGTACCCTTTACAGGGTTATTTATGATAACTAGGGATTAGGAGGTAGCTACAGTTTGAATCAATATGCTTCTAAATATGTGGCCCATAAAGGATCTAAACTAACTTCTAGCAGTTAGAAAACCCTAAAGAATAGTGAACATAAGTAGCCTGTCCATTGAACCCAACTCATATTAGCTAAGTGTCATCCATGAACCAGGCAATGTGGCGGGTACTTGGATACTAGAGTCACAAGTCAGAAGTGACATCACTGTGCTCATTCGCTTTCGGTCTGGTGACATGTCGTAAACTCAGAAATGGTAGCTGCAATCGCTATTTGACAGAGGAGGAAACTAAAGCTCAGTGACATTAAGCAACCCACTCATAGGAATCCCTGAGGTTCTGTCCTATCCCAAGGGCCTTGTCAATCAAAGATGAATGTATATTCTCTACAGTTTTAGTTACAGTGTACTGACCTTTGATTCACTGAAAATTGGTCATCGATGGTGGCCCATTGGATGGGGCTTCAGTTATTCAGAATGCCCGTTTGAATAAATGTGGCTCTGCCCCAAGTTCCTTTACAGATACTCAATGTACAGAAATTTAATATTCTGGGAGACTGCCTATACATCCATTTGTTTTTTTTAAACCAATGTTGTTTTACTCAAATGATGGGCTTTATCTCAGTTGTGACAGGCAGAAATGATGCATATGTGCTTTGAAACAGAATTTAAGATTTATCTCTGACAATGTGTAAATTGAAAGTTTGCAAGCAACAGACTTTCTGTGTTTACTTATTTATTTTATCCATACAAGCACACATACACTGTATGTATTTATATGTGTATATATATACACACACACCTTAAAGTATCTTTTACATACATTAAGATAAATTCTCTTCTCTACCAGGGAATAGGGGAGTATTACAGTTGTAACTAGTTGTTTGGGGCTCTCATCTCAGTGGGATGCTAATATGAACACAATCTGTTTTTCTCAAAACATAGCTTTCACTCGGGTTCTAATTTTCCTCTCTTCTTCTTTAATAAATCTTAAGCTGGTTCCCCAGTTTTTCAGTTCTTGAAAGTCTAGCTCAGTTTTAAAATTCAACCTCAGATTCTGTCTAATCTCATTTCTTCCCTACCCCAGGTATAGGGCAGGTTCATGATCTGGCTCTAAGAGATCTCTCCCTCTTCGCTCTTCAAAGCTTGGTTCTCCTGGAGGGCAGGGAAGAGGTAGAGGGAAAAGGGTACATGCCTCTCAACTGCACTGACAGTGGTTGTGACTCTCTCCCTGGTGGTTGATGCTGTTTCTCTGGCTGTTACCAGTTCTTGATGTCCTTTCTATGAGAGCTGATGAAAGACTGGCCATTTGAGGGAACATATATGTGAGTTCTTCAAAAGCTGTGCAGGGTGTGCCCACAGCAGTATTCCCTGACTGGCTGAGACCCGAGCTCTTCCACTGCGACTCTGGATCTCAGCACTGGTGCTCCCAGCCACAGCATCTTGCTGGGAAGGAAGCTCCTGCCCCTGTCTCTGCCCCGCCATCCCTCTCCAGGTCTCTGCCCCGATAGACAGAGGAAGATGCGCAATAGGTGAGCATTGCTCTGTGTTTGAGCACTAGAATGTGAGTCTCATTTGTGCAGGTACCAACAGTCTGTCCCTCCTACATCTCACCCACTGTACTTCCCACTGGTCCTCCTCTGGGACCCTATCACTCTTTCATTCATGTCTAATCTAGTCTCTAGGTGCAAAGTGGCTCTGCAAATATGAATTCCAAATATTTCTGACTGGCGCTTATGGCAGGAATTCTTTTGAATCTTTCATTTGCCTCTGGTTGGTGGACTGGAAACTTCCCTGGGGTACTAACTGCATCGCCTCCCACCACTCTGGATCTTGATCACTATTTCTGGGGCACCAGTAAAGTCCTGCTACAGAATTAGTATTTTTGTTTTACAGATGGAGAAATGAAGGCTGAGAGAATTGAAATAATTTGTCCTTGGACATGCAGTGAGAAAATGGAAATCCCAGTTTTCTCCATCCGTGTTATTCAGGCTCTAAAGGCCATGTCTTTGAGCAGCGCGTGATAGCTCGTCCTTTGTGCCATCGCTGGCTTTTTGGGGGAAGAGAGTATTACATCCTTAACTTCTAACCAAGTGAAAACTCAGAGACTTAAAGAGGAATAGGGCTAGGAATCCTAACTGGTATAGTCCGGGGAAGTACCTTTTCAAGAACATCTCTGGAGCCAATTAAGAAACCCGTATGGCATAATTCCCAGGGAATCCCCAGGTCAGGACCTCAGGGTGGAGACCACCTGCCACTGGATACAATTGTTGAGGAGGAAGTATGACATAAAAGTAAGTCACTGAAGGGCATAGACAGACCTGCTTTTAAAATAATCTTATATTTATATTTGGGGGTATGATCATTCATTTGAGCTTCTAAGGTATTGTCTTGGAAGGCCCCAGAAGAAAAGGCCACAGTGATAATTGTTAATACGTCAGGCTGCTTATTATGAAATAAGACCTGTTCATCACTTTTTATGCATATATAACCCTTGAAATAGACCATTCACTTTTCTCACTTAAAATTAATTACGCTTTGAGACTTCATTTATGTAACTTGGATTAGATCGTAGAGCCCAAAGAGGTGGTAAAGAATAATTTTTTTTTCTTTAAAAAAAGAACTTTTTCCTGTTTCAGCTAATGACAGAAATGATGATTTAAAATTTTTCCCTCTATTTTACAGAGTAACCGAAAACACGGATAAGACCCCAGAAAGGCAAATGCTTCTAGACCTTCAAAGATGGCAGAAATGTTTACAACAGTGAGAGGGAGATCAAAAACTAAGAACTACCCTGTAGCCAGGACTACAACTGTGTATTTTAAAGCCATTATTCAAGGTTTCTTACTTGACAGTTCCCACATGACCCTGTTGAAAATCTACAATATATGCTGCATTTAATGAAACATGTATATGTCAAACCAGAAGAAAAGAACTATAGACGTATATTGTGTAAAGAAAAAGTTCAGCAATGGAAACAGTTTCAGCAGATCAAGGAAAGATGTGTCTTGGGCATGGAACCAAAGTTACAAAGAAACATTCTCCCCCTGCTGTGCAGGGGGATCATTTTAATGTAACACCACACCCCATGGAAACAGGAGTCCTGAAATAAACATTTTCAAAAATCAAAACAAATGAAAAAACAAGGGTGGGTGGGGAATGAAGCACGAGGAATACCTATGAGGAGCTATTTACAATAAAATGTTTCCTTTGAAAAGTCTGGTTTCTTACTACAGGGATTTGCTTTTTGTCTTTATTGTTGTTTAAAACTCAGGAACAGAGACGTCTGCGATGTGAATGGGAAGGAAAGCAGCCTCCTGTTTGTTTTCCTGCAAGAGGTGGGGTTTGTGGGATGCATTCCACGGATGACAGAGGAGAAGCAGATGACAGAGGAGAAGCGGATCACAGTGACCCCTGACGAAACTGGCAACAAGGCGGAGGACCTAGGCGAATGTAACATAAGAAACAAAAGCAGATGTGATGCTGCCTTGGCCTTCTGTCACATCTGTCTTTCTCCACGAACAGACTGATCTCAGTCATACTGAAAATTAAGAAGATGATGCTCTAAATCACAAGCTCCCTGACTTGGTTCTGTTTAGAATGCTAACATCTCTAGGGAACATGGGCCCGAGAGCATCTCTGAATCCGTTTCCAAAATACTGGTTTTCAAATGGCTGCTTAAAATTGCCTGCATAAATATGTTATATGATTTGAATAAAAACACAATAGAGGTGAAAAGTAAACTTCTACCAACAGTTGAGTTTGCCACAGAGATGTGAATACTCAACACAATTATGATGATTTTTTAAAGTATCCTGATATGCCCAGAGCCTTCTGACCTCTTATCGTTTAGACTGATAACATTTTTTTTCCCCAGAGAGCTGACAGCAAAAAGACAGCTCTACTTTTTTTATATAGAAGTAACATACATTACCAATAAGGTCGTTTTCTACCAGAGACGAGTAGAAGAAGATACTTTTCCTAAGTTATGTAATACTGAGCCTTGGATTCAGCTCTGAGAGCCAATAAATGTTCCTGAAAAGCAAATTTTACACCTCATTTACTGTAGATAACAAAACAGCCTCAATTTTTCAAATTGTCAAGGTTTTATTTACAGGGCTAGATTTCCCATGCATAAAGAATGTGTGTAGGGAGCCAGAAACTCCTACAAAATGCTACGCAAATCCTTCCATACGTGAGTTCTGTATCTTATTGTTTGGTTTTTAGCACTGGCATTTTCCAAGCCAGAAAAGGAACTGAAGAATAGGCAAGGAAGCCTAGAATGCTGGGGTCTCACGTTTTGTCCTCTTTACTGCTGACCCAGGTGTCTTTGGCCCAGTCACTTAACCTCTCTGTGCCTCAGTCTCCTCATCTGCAAAATGAGGTTAAATGCTTTTTCATAAAGGTTTTTTTGTTTGTTTGCTTTTGCAATTCTGGAACAAGAGGTGCTTAAAGTAGCACAAAGTGCTTTGTAAAATGATGACTGCTATATTATTCAACTTTCTTGTATTGTTGAGAAAGAGTCCCCCATGTGATAAAATAGTGCTTCAGTTTGGTTAAATCTCAGCACCGCAGCACTGAAGCTTTTCCATCAAACTACCTGGAATATTGCTAGCAATAAATGTTGGGAGATCCAGAGCCGGGATCTCTAATAACCTATAGTAAATATATCATCTCATGCTTTTGAACAAGATAGAAGAACGTCATTTCACTGATAAGCATCTTCTAGCTCTCCTTATTGTGCATGCATGCCATGATACGAAACAACACTTCTATCGTAGGAGAGCCAACTCTGAAATTAAGGTGTGGAGTCTACGAATAGTATCACATAATTAGTCTCATCTCCCCTTTCATTGGAGATGTACAGTAATGGGTCCTACTGGAAATATACAAAATAATTATCCCGCTGGATTCTTTATTCAACTGGGTCATTTCTTTACTCAGTATGAAGAGCACATTCATTGTGCAGGCAATGTCAAAGAAGGTGCCACTGCGGTCTGTGACCCAATCCTTTCCAATCTCTGAGTACATGGAAGAGGACCAATTACTCTTCCCTCTGACTTTCCTCTTCTGCTCTTTATTGGTCATTCCACGGTCCATCTGAGCAAATTCATACTCCATCTGCTATAACAAACCTGCTTTCCTTCTCTTCATCTTGCTTTTTCCACCAAGAAACTTGTATGCTAAATTTTATATCCAAACACTGACTTTGATTTAAATGACTAGAAACATTTGTAAAAACAGTGTGGCTTGATCATGTACCTTATCTGCTATAAATCTGTATCATACACATCCAAGATCACACGAGCAATACAGGTAGGATGACCATCTACGCTGCTTTAGATGTGTTTAGGGCGAATGCAAAAAGGAGGGATTTGTACTTTTTGTTTAACCTTCAGGACATGAGCAAAGTTCTATAGATTTTAGGCTAAAAGGGTATATTTTTACCAAGTCTTACCCCTGATCCTCAAAATTAACATACCATTGGATGAGGCTAAATTTTTTTTTTTTTTAAGATTTTATTTATTTGACAGAGACACAGTGAGAGAGGGAACACAAGCAGGGGGAGCAGGAGAGGGAGAAACAGGCTTCCCGCTGAGCAGGGAGCCAATGCGGGGCTCTATCCCAGGACCCTGGGATCATGACCTGAGCCGAAGGCAGACGCTTAACTGAGCCACCCAGGTGCCCAAGGCTAAGTATTTTTGATAAGTACATCTCTATTATTCATTTCAACAATTATAAAAACATCAACAAAATTGTAAAGGTATGTTTCACTCATGGATCCACAGAAATGAATCATTTTTAAATGAATGCTTCCCTTGCATATGATGTCCAGCAATAGCAAAATGTGTCTCATGAGTAATGGAGAGGCTGAATGTGGCCCCACTTCTTACAGAGAGTACTGTGATCTTCAATTTGGTAAAAAATTTTTACCACTCTGATCTTTAATTTCTGCATCTGAACTATCCTGACACATTTGGCCAATGAGTTAGTAGTGGTCAGAACAACATTCTTCAGGGTTCCTTTACTTAATTTTTTCTTATTGAAGTATTCATCTCTTGGAAAATAAATATAACATGATATTAAAGAATAGTTTGACATAAAAATGAAAGCCCCAATTTGGATAGTTATTCAGGACAGGAAAATTTTCATGAGGAGGGAAGAACAAAATCAAAAACTATACTTGGCTATCATACTAGAAAGCCTCTGTTACTAAATTGACTGTCTAACCCTTTTTCTTTAATGCCACCTAAATTTTATTTTAGGAAACACTAGAATGTGCTGAAAATAAGCACATTTTAATGTGCTTTTAACCCATGTCATATAAATGAAATTATTGCCAGTAGTAAGGTTTTAGGGGTGGAAGAATAAATTTTGCTTTGATTTTTCTTCCACTCACAAATAACTGTTCACATAGGTGGCCTGGTTCTTCAGTAGGATAAACATGATGTAGAGGGCTCATGGGTCATCACTGGAATAGAAAGGGGACATTTGTTCTCTACTAGTATGGAAGAAATAAAGTTTTGCCAAATAATTTTTGCTACAGTATTTTATTTCAACTAAATTTTTGTTTATGATAAATCTTTGATAAACTTGTTCCTTTTGCCTATTTATTGTCAACTTTTTCTGTAAACCCACTGTGTAACTCACATGTTTAATGTCTTCAATGTAATTCATAAATTCATTGTTTTAAAATGAAGTGTTTGAAAAACTGCCTAGGTTTTCATGGGAACTGTAAAAATGATACTTATCAGTTTTGTGTTGATGTTTAAATAATTGGATCACGTGTGTTATGTTACATCAAAGTAGATGGACAGCATAGACATTTTATTTTCTAAATACTTAATTGATTTTTTTGATCTGTCAAAGAGTGGCACTATATATGTATATATGTATATGTATATACATATATACATAGGTATACATAGTATATGTATGTGTGTGTGTGTATATATATATATATATATATATATATACACATATACATTTATCTACTATATTGAAAAAGTTCAATATAACTTCTGAGAGATCAGTAATCAAAGCAAATCTTAGATGACTTTATGTCATGAGCTAATACTTCCAGGATGGGCCCAAGCCTCTCCTTATGACTTCTACTTTCTATAGGGAAAAAAGTAGATCACAAGGTCTTAAAGGACAAAAGCTTCCATTCCGTTCAGCTGCCTTGTCACTTCTATATATTACCTTGAGACTGAATTTCAGGTGTATTGGTGAGAGGATTCATAAATAATAGAAGGTTGGAGTTGATCCTCTAATTTCATTTCAGTACTGGGCAAGGAAGAGTCACATTCCTTTGCTGCCTTTAATTTTGTTCTTCCTAAATAAACCTTCTATTGTTGAAAGTCCAAGTCCAATGTTTAATCAGGTTACTAAAGATAAACTCCAAGGAGTAATGTGGCAAAATAGATTATAATTTGCTATATTCAACCTAGCGTATCGTGCTCAGAGGCGGCAGTGACTGATTGGGTAAAGGTCCCTGTTTTTGCATTGAGGTCTTTGTACCCATGCTTTTATTTCCATCCTTGTTATATCAAAGTTCTATAGGATGGAAGTGGTGTAGATAAACAACTTTAAGTCCAATCTGGCCTACAATCAAGACTCTACAAACTTGCTCGAGTGTGGGTAATGCAATTTCCCCAAAGCACATCCCCAGCATCCATCAATAACAGCAATCACTTAGATTTGATTGACATCTCACAAAATGTGCCTATTTCCCCCCATTCACTATAGTAACTTCCTACAATGAGGCAGATCAAAATCCAAACTTTTATAAATATGTAATGTACATATAGAAACATATATATTCTGTACATAGGTGATGGTTCGAGTGCTTACTTAATGTGTACTTCTGTCCTAGGATTGAGGACTTAAGGAAGGGGTTTTTCTATGCTGCTAGGTAACTCATATTTTTGGTTAGCATCTGGTGTCTGTGCTCTTCTCCTCCTTCCCTGCCTCTTCTCCCACCTCCCCTACCTTCTGTTCACTACCACGATTCCCTGTTGTTGACTGAGGCAAAGAACTGCTCTTTGGTTTCCAATTACCCAGCCCCATAAACCAGTCTGGTAGTGTTGCCAGTGGTTTTCTAGGAAGAGCAACAGAAAGTCCAGTACAATCGACAGTATTAATATTACCCAAAAGTCCCATAATTTTATCAGCTAGAAATTTCATTCCAACAAGGTTCATGCATGTTTTAACCATCGAGATCCAACTCTATGGGGACTCAAGAAGAGAGCTTATGTATTTGAATACATAGTTCCCCAAAGCCTACTGTGCTCATGTAGCCAGGGGACCAATTTCTCAGAGCTTTCATCCAATCAACTGCCTCATTTGGGGTTCTTTATCTCCATCTCATTAGCATGACTCCATCTATTGGTTCAGTGCTTGTTTATTAATGGGAGAAAAATATAGATTGACTGAGTTTCACCAGGATGATC